CTGGCTAATTTTTTCTATTTTTTTGTAGAGACGGGGGTCTCACTATGTTGACCAGGCTGGTCGCAAACTCCCGGGCTCAAGAGATCCGCCCGCCTTGGCCTCCCTAAGTGCTGGGATTACAGGCTGCACCAGCGCATCCAGCCAAATGTAACCTTTTTTTTTTTTTCTGAGACGGAGTTTCACTCTTGTCACCCGGGCTGGAGTGCAGTGGCATCATCTCGGCTCACTGCAACCTCCGCCTCCTGAGTTCAAGCGATTCTCCTACCTCAACCTCCCAAGTAGCTGGGATTACAGGCGCCTGCCACCACGCCCGGCTAATTTTGTATTTTTAGTAGAGACGGGGTTTCACCACGTTGGCCAGGCTGTTCCTGAATTCCTGACCTCAGGTGATCCGCCCGCCTCGCACTCCCAAAATCCTGGGATTACAGGGGTGAGCCACTATGCCCGGCCCCAATGTAACTCTCAATGGCAACATCGTGTGCAGTCTCCCGCTTGCATTAGGTTTACTCAACCAATCGCTAAGACGACACTTGAGACTGTTTTCAGATCTTTAGGCTTTCCACCATCCTAGAAAGGGGCCTTGCCTGGTTCTAAGGCCGTTCTGAAACACTACCCAACTGTCCTCGGGAAACGGTGCATAAGTCCTCTGGTTTCCCCCGAGGCGCGTGGGCACCTTGGCTGGAACCTCGCCCAGTAACACGATGTGCCTGGGGCCCCTTCATCATTTCCGCCAACCCTGGGGACAGCCCTGACGCCGGCCCCTAAGAGCCGTTCCAGTTCTGTCGCTCTCCTCCCCGCAGCCCCAGGCGGTAGCTTCGCGGCCCGGCGTCCGGTCTCCCGGTGGCCCCACAGCCAGGCTCCGCAATGGAGGGCGAAGGACCCTCCCTCCCCGACCTCGCACGACTGAGACCGCCCACCTTTCCCCCAACGCCCGGCGGTGGGAGCCGTTCGAGTCTTCTCCGCCAGGGCGGTCCTTCCCGGGAGGCCGGTTCTTTGGGGGAATAAGGTCAAGGGTTACGTGATTTGGGGAAGAAAGCTCGGCTAGACCAAGATTGCTTGCGTAGCTCGCTGGAATCTAAGGCACTAAGTGGCAAGACGGCCACGCGAGAACCACCCAAGTAGGCGCAGCACCGCCCCCCGCCCCGCGCAGGGACTTCCGGCGCGCCCCAAAGGGGAGCTCGCGGCGCGATGACGTCTTCAGGGAGCGCCACGTCCGCCGGGCGGCGCATCTGCCCAGCGCAACCTCGGCCCCGCCTTGCCGGCCCCAGACCCCTGCCCCGCCCGACCCCGCCCCGCCGCGGGAGCGCGCCACTCGCCCGCGCAGCAGGGGCCTCAGTAGCGCTAGGCGCGCGTCTTCCGAAAGTCCGACCGAGGCCGGCGTAGGCGAGGCCTGGCTACAGGCTGACGCACCGCTGGAGCTACTGACCTCGGGACGACTGGCGGACGGTCGCGAGCCTGGAGACCCAGAGCGAGACGGCCGACTTCCTTCTCGAGCCAGCAGAACGGGTTGAATGTATCGACACCTCCAGCCACCAGAGTCAGCGGCGCGGACGTGTTGGAGCCGGCTGGTGGGCGTGGTCAGGTGCGGGGGCGGGGACTACTGGGCG